TGCGCTGAGAATCCCCTGAGTGGACTTGGGGGAAGAGTTGTGTGGAATCCAAGGGGAATATCCGTTATTCACCCACCGGACGTCCTCCGAAAGCACAATATGTCTTCCTTGAATGTGGATCACCGGCGAACCGATGCACCTGCGCAAGTTCGATCGTCAGGACCACGAACTCTTCATTGCTCCATAATATCTTTCTAGAATAACGTGCGTGTATGGCAACTAGCGGTCTAGAACTGCTCGTAAATAAGTGCTATTTGTCGCTTTAGAGCCCCTCTATATGGATCAAGTGTGATTTCGTGGCATGCGAGGTGGTGAAGCACGTGGCCTGGGGACCCCAGACTGGGAAACAGCTTCGAAACCAGGGTGTGCCGTGTTCAACTTTAAAGTGTTTTTTTGAACCGCCTTTTCTAAGCTGACTTTACCAGCCATTTTAGCTTTCTCCCTATGCGGTTCTGAAAGGAAAGTGAGGCTACCCCAGCCATTTCGACTCGTGGGAGCGTAGATCATCCCCACCCTCACACCTCTCACGTCTTGATGGCTGGTAACGGTTTTAACACCAGAGCCTTTTACTGCTCTGTCAACCTCATGGCTGTTGACACCAACCACACCATCTCGAGTCAACCCAGCCACGGGTTGAACTGCCAACTCAGGACGACCTCTGGGTCGCCTAGAGGTACTGGCAACCTACGATGTCGATTACCAGCCTTCTTGCAAGAACCTTCCTGCCACCACCTTCCCGCCCTACCAGAAACAGGGCTGAAGGTTGTGTTGAAGGTGGAGATTCTGGTGTTAACCAACAAAGGCAGGTTTGACTTAGTGTCACAAGGACAACTGTCTTGCAGGACAAGTGAGGGGATTCCCGCCTTGCAATCAATTTCATAGCAACACCGGAGGCTGGTCCGACAAATCTTTCACCGCTCAATGGCCGTCGTTGCGATGGACCCTATTTGTCTGCTTCAGTCAAAATGGAGAAAGGGGGTTGGCGCCCGCTTCCCTCTTGGCGCCATCTCGCACGTCCAGCCTCCTGAGAGCAGCAATATCATCGATAATAAGACGGCTGGTCATGGACAGATGACAGCGTGGGGGGAGGGAGATGGAGGGGGCGGAGACCACAGAAGTCAGTGGGAGTGGGTATAAAGTACGTCGGATATCCGACGCGCGAGAATTTCGTAAGACTATACGTACTCGAATTCGCAGTTCTGCTACACCGGATATGGGATTGTTCGGCTTAGGCCCTCCCACCTTCGAACGCATGAAGCCAGGGAGCCCGAGCTTTTCTCGGTTGCGGTGAGGGACTCGAGCACATGGAATGCTAGTCAAGCTGGAGACTTGATGGATACTCCCACAACAACGACATGTAGGCCACCAAAGTGCCTCACCGCGGAGCAAACGATCATGAGGCTGCAACCAGATGCAGGTGACTCGGCAGGAAGAAGAAAAGAATTTTCAATGCAACACCAACGAAGCATATGGAGCATCATCGAGATCTAGGCCCCGTAGGAGTGCTGCAGTATTTTGGAAAAGAAAACTTGAATCCTCATTCAGCTAACAAGCCCACCCTCTTCAGCCCGTGAATCCCAGCATGTGAAGCGCTCTGCCCCCAACTTTAGTCATCCCATCACCGTTAAGCGCAAGGGAAAAATGAACGGCCGCGACGACTTGATGACCGTTTTGAGACACGCTCCAGCGAAAGAGATACCGACTGCAAAGCCAAGACCCATCCCAGGTTTGACTCCGTCCAGTCTGCTTCTCATCCGAGCCACACCTGCGTCCACCATCTCAACTCTGCCTATGTGCTCGATACAACGGAGGCATCCTTCAAATGATTAGGCCCAGCCGTAATGTCGCGCAATATTTCTCTCGGACCTTTCCTTTAAGTTGGTCGATCATCTGCAACAAGGGCTCAAAGGGCCCCCAAAAAGCCAAAAATGGTTGTGGAGCAATTTGCGACGTTTCCGACTCCAGGAGATGAGCATCCTTTCCTTCAGCGTATTCCAGCCTCAGTTTTCATGATTCAGGTCCGTCGGCGACGGGCGACGCCCTGCCTTCAGCTGCTCCTCATCGACCGTCTCAATCGTTCGGCAATGCCTGGCCTCGGAAAAACTGGATACTGACCCTCTCTAATATCAGGATATGTTAATGGGTGTTCTGGGCGATGTTAAGTGCTAGCGTCTTCCGATCACCCAGGATCCCAAGTGCGAAAGCAGCATCGTGAAGCTGTCAAGCTGGGATACTGCAGTCGACGTGTCAAAGGCTGGTGCATTAGCGGCTTGGACTCCTGAGATGGAGCGGCGATGATCCCAGCAAGACGCCCGGATAACGTTCGTTTTATAACACCGAACCCCCAACCACACAGACGCCGCAATGCCTCATTTGCCTCAAAATTGGGTCTCGTTTCACCCTGTCCCCTACGCCGCCGACACACTTGAGTTGATGTGATCCAAGTGATCCCATCGCGAGCAATCCGATTTTGACGTCACCCTCCCAGGATCTCGGCTCAAGTTACCCCCCGTCTCCCTCGTTGGCGCCGGGGCAGCCAGACAAGCCTTACCCGGCTACCACGTCCGCCTGCATAAGATCAGCCCTGGGATGACCCATGGGGCCGGCGCTCCGCCTTGCTCGGCCTGCCGACCACTCACGGCCTCCCACTCGACAGCCCTCACGGATCCGATGCAGCGAAATCGCAGGCGGCTCAGCGTTCCCCTGTCCAGCTCCTCGTCCCGCCGTATTTTTGTTCCGAATTCTTTCACCCCCGCTGTCCATGTCGAAACTAAGTCGGTGGCTGATCAGACGAAGGGAATCAAGGCCTAACGAACCGAGGGCTGCGGTGACGTCGGGGCAGAGAGGCAGAGTGGTTGGTTGGGCATCCAGTCAGAGTTTGAAAAGGGAGGTATATTATGCCTTCGGAGACCTTCGGCACACACGAACATGGAGGTCACCAAACATTGAACCCACCAAAAACACTAGACGACGAGAAAGAGGCTAACTCCATCGTCTACGACGACCTCTTTCAAAACGGCCAACTTAACTACGCCAGTTCCCTCCCGATCTATATTACTCCCGTCTCCGTCTCTGAGTATAGCATCGTCGTTCGATCGCATCATGTCAGGACAGCAGACCGGGACCTTGAAGGCACCTGAGGGTGAACCCTCTCCAGTATCACCAGCAACAGCAGTCGACCCCAACGCCTTCTCTGACGACGAAAACGGAGTTGCATCACCAAGATACGGCCACTCTCAACAACCCTCAAGAGGAGGATCTCGATCTGTTCGTGCACGCAGCGCTCGCATCGCACCTGGAAGAGAGTCCGTTGAAGACCCTCTACCCACGGGAGTGTCCACCAAGTCAACCCGCCCCCTTCGTGAAGGCAACCGCTTCAACGGCAACGCAGACTACGACGACGACTCCGACACGGACAGGTACTGGGGCAACAACAACAACCATCCGGACTACAGTGGCGGCCGCGCACCTCGCTCAAGGCCTCCTCGTGCTCACTTGAACCGCCCCCAGCCCTACTTCAACTACGACCCCAACACGGATACCAAGGACTACTACGAGGAGACTCGCTCCTACGAGCCCGGTGACTACACCGGAAGACCTCCCTCTCGTAGGACGTACGACGAAGAGATGGCGGCCTACCCTCGCAGCGTCCCGGTGCGAAGCACCAACGGGGACACAGCCCGGATCGACTGGCACAACCTCACCCGCGAGGAGAAGGCCCAGGTCATGCGTCTGCCTCTCACCCAGTGGATGAACTCGGACGTCAAGAACCACTTCGTCGCGAGCTTGGGAGAGCTCGTTGGAACGACCATGTTCCTCTTCTTCGCCTTCGCCGGTACAGAAGTCGCCAACATTAAGTCTGCTGCCAACAGTTCCAACTCGCCATCAGACAGCAACACCACCACTGGTGCCTCGACCGGCTTCAACAGTGGAACACTCCTCTACATCTCTATCATCTTCGGCTTCTCTCTCATGGTCAATGTCTGGATCTTCTTCCGCATTAGCGGTGGACTGTTTAACCCGGCTGTTACTCTTGGACTTTGGCTCGTCAAGGGAATTCCCGCATCTCGTGCTGCCTGCCTGTTTGTCGCCCAGATCCTGGGTGGCATGCTTGCATCGGTCATCGTGCGATTCCTCTTCCCGGAGAACTTCAATGTCCGCACTACCCTTGGCGGCGGCGCCTCTCTCGTTCAGGGTGTATTTATCGAAGCCATCCTAACCGCTGAGTTGGTCTTCACAATTTTCATGTTGGCCAAGGAGAAGCACAGGGCCACCTTCATTGCCCCAGTTGGCATCGGCCTGACACTCTTCATCGCTGAATTGGTTGGAGTCCAATTTACTGGCGGCTCCCTCAACCCTGCACGAAGCTTTGGTCCTTGCGTCATTACCGCAACCTTCGACTCCGAGCACTGGATCTACTGTAAGTTTAACACCCTCCAAGACATGACTTGCGCAGCCGGAAGCTAATCTTAATCACAGGGGTTGGACCTTTCCTTGGTGCACTCATCGCTGTCGTTTTCTACAAGTTCATCAAGACCTTGGAATACGAGATGGCCAACCCGGGTGCTGACGGCGACCCGGAGAACGACCCCACCCAGAACCCTGCGAAATTGGCTGAGCTGCGCATGTCGCGCACCAAGTCTGCCAAGCAATGATGAACATCAGAAAGTCACGACAGACAGACGATGATACCAATGGCACAATAATGAAGGAGAATTGGGCGTGGTTAATGATGATTTGATGTTAATGATTTGGAATGTGTCACGGGAATTATTTCCTGGCAGAATGATGGAACGTCTCTACATCTCTCTTTCTCTTTTATGACGAAGGAACAGCAGAACATCAGAAACAGCCTCATGACAGAAAGCTGCTGATCGGACACTGGGACATGAACATAGATGAAATATGGCTATTGAAGATACAAAAAATACTCTACATTGAAATCTGGTCCGAACACTTCGCTAAGGCTATGCTGAGAAAAACGAGGAAAAAGTGATTGTTCAAAGCCGATTACTCAACTGCTCCAAAAACAGCTTTTCCTCAGGTGTGATGAACATGTGTTCGGGCACAATCACTTCCCCAGGCCTCATGATCAACACTGGGTCTGGCTTCACCGTGGACTCGCTCCTACTCCTCGATTCAACCTCGTCGGCCTCAGCCTTCCCATGGCTCTCCTCGTCGCCCCTACGTTTCCACGGCACGCGGTGTTGCCGTACATCCTCAGGCGTCCACCAGTACATCGGGAAGCGCCGTTGAACATTGTTAATGATTAGCGCGGTGGCAAGCATTACGACACAGCCAAGCATCACAATAGGCACCAAGAACCAGCCCAGCTTCACCACCCCGTCGTCGACGACGGCCAGGAGTGCCGTCGCGCCAGCAGGGGGGTGCACCGTCTTCGTAAGCGCCATAACGGTCGTCGCCAGCGCGCACGACAGGGCCCCTCCCAACCAGCGTACCTCCTGGAAGTGCGGGCTGAGCTGGAACAGTTTGCAGATTGCGACCCCTACAAGCGCGGCGAGGAGCTGCCCGAGGACTGAGTTGCGGGGCTGAGAGAGCGGCGCCTCGATGGAATAGAACTCTAACACGGCGGCTGCGCCCTGGGAAGAGGCCAAGTCTTGAGTCAGCGCATCCGTTTTGAAGTTATCAGTGCTGACCAGGTTGCCGACGAATGAGGCGGGCGGGAAGGGAGGATGTCGTCATATGGGAAGGCCGAGGCATGAAACGGGTGGGTGGAAGGGGACTCTTGGAGGCCCGAGCCCATCCTTGGCTTCTCCGTGACAATCTCGGTGTGGGAGAGGTGTGAAAATGGGCCGGGAAGCGGCTAGGTGAGGGAAATAATCACTTACAAAGCTGCCGACGATGATGGGGGCTCCATGTTCTCTGAAGGAAGGGATTTGGCGAGAGACAACGGCGACTGCAGCCACGCCGCAGAAGACGCCTATGCAAGCCCAGAAAATCGGCACGATGTTGCCGGTGTTGTCAGGCTTAGACTTGCGATAGCCGAAGAAATGTGATACCGGATATGGGAGATGAGCCCATGGCGGCGGCGGGACGAAAGGGTTGAAAAATCGATCAATATCGAAGTTCCAACTTTTCGGGTTGCAATGCAACATTGGGGACGGATCGTCGCTATGCCAAGTCCGGGGTAGCGTTCGATTAAATCCGGGGAAGTGCCACTTTTGGGAATGTAATCGAGATAAATTCCGCGCAAATAAGAAGCCAATTTCCCACCCTTGTCTCCTTTTGTCTTCGGAGTTGCCTTGCTCTTGAGGAAATTGACGACTAGAGCTCTTTTTCTAATCTTTGGTTGGCTTCGTGAAAGTCGTCGGATGAATATACGTCGGATAAGGGATGGCATGCAGGAACAGGAGACACAAGCCACAGGCTGTGGTTATGGCAATGTGGTATCGTACACAAACCGAGACACAAAATGCAAGTCGTTTCTTCGTCCAATTCAGACCATCCTACCATGTGGCCCGCTCCAGATCTCTCGGATCTTGCATTACTTTTAACGACTCTTACTGCCGCGGAGATTCACATTCAATGGCAGGCGGCTTATTATTTGTTACTGTGAACAATGGCCTTGGGGCACGTCATATTTGGTAACAGAAACTCCCAAAAGGGTTTAGGTCCCGGACCGGACGGGGGGCCGCCGGCCATATGTGGACCCCAAAACGGCCAGAAGCGCATTCCAGGAGAAAACTATTATATAACAGGTGGCAGCTCGTCATCTGATGCCCGTCTTTGACCATTCAGAGAAGCTGGCACGCCGTGCTGGCGCGTCTAAACTAGACTCGGCCGTGTTGCGGGATTCGTTCGGTTTCCCATGACGGCGGGAGACCTACTTTTTGATGTTTTCACATCTAGCTCCCGCTTTGCCATCGACGCCAACTTTCCGGACCTCCGTGCTGTACTCTTTGCTTTCTCAAATCTCGGGAGATCGGCGTGTGATATTTCATCGAGGAAAGAATCGCCCATAGATGAGTCATGTTTCCGGCTCGATTCTCCGAGGGGGCATGACAAAGGTTACCTTCCACCGCGGGGCATCAATTTGGAAACACTCCGAGTACGATTGACGGTCGAGTGTAAAATGACCCGCCAATTCCGAGCTGCACGCCCTCGACACCACGAAGACGTCTGATATTCACTTGGCAGAAGATCAGTACCATTATTGTTGATCTATCTAGCTTGCATCAGTTGATTCTGATGTCAATTAACCTGGGTGTAAACCTTGTAGACATCAAAATGTCACGCTACCGGCCACAAGCTTTGAGGCGCGGCGTGGCGTTTACCACCACATGGAACACGGTGCATCCCTGTGCACGTCGCACCGACGCCGTTGGCATCTAACCGAGAAATACACAACATGCAAACTTCCTACTTGTGCGTTGGGCAGATAAGTCCAGAGCAACTGGTTGCTTGGTCTTTGACTTTGAAGTTGCGATTGCGACCCTCGTGTCGCCTGGGCAGTAAAGTCTGTTGAACCGGCAAGAATTGGCGATCCAGTACAGGACGCTCGCTCGTCATCGTGAGCTTGGACTTGGTTTGGAGTCGGCGGATCGCCTGAAGTCTGGACCTGGCGCTGTTGGAGGCCGTGCTACCCGTTTTCCAAGGCTAGCGCCGTCCTCGATTCGTGAGATGAAGGCGTTGCTACACATCGGATGCAGGTGGTGTCCCGCGTTGGGCTGCATTGAAAGTGACACCAGACCGAACAAGACTTGGCGACTGTAGCCGTCAGTCTTGATGCCAAGCTGATCAACGAGTTGGAGCCAACTTTGGACTGCTGTTGCGAAACCCGAAGGCCATTGCCGTAAGCCTCTGTCAACTCACTAGGGATGGTGCAAGATGTTGCGTGCCTGATACATCATCTGCCGGCACGACGGAGATCATCTAAACCCAATGATTTGGAGTAAGAAGCATTGTTTAGAAGAAGAGTCATCACTTGCTCAAGTGTGGACTCAAATATCCGACGATCACGCGCTTCTGTCAACAATTGGAAGTACTCCCTGAGACACAGACCCTCATCTCTTTCACAAAAAGACACTTCCAGGCACATCCAATGTTATTAAGAAGAAATTACTGCTTCGAGTTCATAATTTGTACTTGGACTAGTTGGCGGCAGCCCCTGAACGCTCTGACCAAGTTGGCTCTGAAGACCCTGATGGCCCTGTGAACTCCAAGTGGACCGCTCTCGGTGAACACATCTCCGCGGAGTCCCCATCAACATCAAACTCGGCCCCGCCGAGAGCTTTGAATATTTCGCGAGACGCTGTGACCAGCGGCGATTGGGTCGATAAATATTGCATTTACAGGGCTGAATCGAAAGAATTGGTTGAAGAGCCTGTTGGTCTCACGGTGAAACTGACTATGAATGATAACGAAGACAAAGACAAGTTATTTGATAAACAAATCAGGAGCCTGCAACCGAGATTCATCGCCCTATGAATCGTCTAGATGGATGCCAGGTTGATTCAATGCCGTAGTCTACAGTCGGAGGAATTGAACTCGTATCATAATTAATGGCTGGGCATATTTACAAAGAAGAAGTAGATCCGAATTAACCAGCCCCTATTAGTTTTCAGCTGCCTCGCGATCGAATCGGTGCTTCGATATTTGAATCGTCGCCACAGCTTCTAGAATTTTAAGCAGCATTCAGCCCTTGACGTAGAAAGAACTCTGAGTGAGTCTAAGCAAAAGGAAAGACAGCCCTCTTAAAAGATGATAGCATGAACAAGCACACCCATAACAAGGGCACCAAAGCCAGCAACAAGCTTGCCAGCCGTAGCAGTGGTTACCACAGAAGGGCTACCGGGCGTAACTCCTGCGGGGGCACCGCCAGCGGAAGACTGAGGCTGGGAAGCACCACCGGCACCAGAAGGCGATTGAGGAGCACCGCCAGCAGGAGCAGCATCACCAGAGGCAGACTGGGGCTGAGAAGCGCCACCAGCACCAGAAGGCTGCTCGGGAGCACTGCCAGCGGGAGGAGAACCACCAGGGGGAGACTGAGGCTGGGAAGCACCACCGGCACCTGCAGGAGGCTGAGCATTAGGACCACCGGCCGGAGCACCACCAGCCGGAGCACCTCCAGCCGGGGCACCTCCAGCCGGGGCATCTCCGGCAGGGGCGCCTCCAGTAGGAGTATTGCCAGTAGAAGGCTGAGGAAGCCCACTAGCAGGAGCAGCGCTCCCCATAAGGCAAGTAAACTTATTAAGTTCAATTAATTAATTAATTAAGTATAAAGCTATCGTTAGTTAATTAAGTTAAATTTAAGCTTTAAACTTAATTAATTACTTTAACTCTTTTAATAGGGATTATAATATAAATTAAATAAATATTCTACTACTAAATATCTTTATTTTTCTTTACTTTTCTTTATCTACTTTCTATTTCTAATAGAACCCTCTTTAGTAAAATATAAATTACCCCTTTTTATTTATTTAATTTTTTTTTTTAAGTTAATATTATTATAATAAACTTAGTATAATATTTTCTAACTTCTTATTTTAGTTTAAGTATTAAGTAATTTTTTTAGAGAACTTAAAATCTACTTTTTAAAATTTTCTAAAGATCTATATTAAATCTATTATTTTATTATTATTATTTTCTATCCCTATTATCTATTAATATCCCTTAAATATATTATAAAAGTAAAAGTATTATTAATACTACTCTTTTTTCTATTTTACTTATTTTATATTAAATATCTACTATATTAATAATTCTCTATTTAACCTTTACTTTTCTTCTAAATATTTTTAATTAACTCTTAAAATTTAGATCTATTATATTATAATTTAAATAAAATAAAAACTACTTTTTACTTAACTATCTTTTATTTAAAAACCTTTTTAAAATTATAATAAATAATAAAATATATATAAAAGTTAAAATTTTTAAAAAAAAGTATAAAAAAGAGGATAAACTAAATAAAAAACTATAGTTAATATTTTATTCTCTATTAACTAAATAATTAACTAAAAACTAATTATTAAACTTATTATTATTATAATTTTAAAAGTAAATAGATTATTCTTAATATTAAAATAATTTTATCTACTTTAAAGTATTTTAAAAAAAATTATATTAAAGAGATTAAAATATTACTTATTAACTTAAAAAGCTTTAAAAAACCTAATAATATTTTATATAAGAGATAGTATTTAGATTTTATTAATTTAATAAAAAATTATATAAAAAATATCTAAAAAGCTATTATTTATTTTATTATAAATATTAACTTTCTTTTTACTATTTATAAAAATTTTATTTTTTAAAATATAATCTTTAATATTAATATAAAACTAGAAATATTATTATAATCTACTATATTAATAGTTTTTAAACTTAATAATATTTAGAAGTATTAAAAAGAGGTTATATAATAAAAACTTCTATATACTAATTTTAAAATCTATTTAACTTTTAATTTATAAACTTCTTTAAATTAATAAGTTATTATAAATATTACTATATATTTTATTACTAAAGAGAAAAATCCTTAAATATATTTAATTATTATAAAGAAATAACTTAAAGCTTATAATAATATTAATTTTATAAATATTCTTAAAGAGGTTATTTAAAACTAAAATATTATAAACTAAATAAGAACTTTAATCTCTAATAATATAAACTTAAATAATACTTATATAATAAATTTAATCCTTTAATTTAACCTTTTTATAAAAAAGAAATAAGATATTTAAACTAAAAAGATTTATTATTTTAAGTATATTTTTAACTTTATATTAAAAACTTTCTTATTTAGTAAAAACTCTAAAAACTTTAAGAAATAGTTAGATATATATATTCTTCTATAATAAGATAAAGCTAACTTTAAGTATTAATAAAAAATTAACTTTATTAATAAACTTTATAATATTATAAAGTTTATAAAAACTTTACTATAATATATATAGAGGTTTAAAAATCTATTTTATAAAATATTAAAAAGATTTAAATAATTTAATAATATTCTTCTCTTTTAGTAGATATTTAGAGAAATTAAACTAATTTAAAATAATATTATAAAATAGAACTCTATATATTTTATAATTAAGTAAATAATTTATTTTAAAAATAAAATAGATAGCTTTTATTTTTCTTAAAGTATTAAAGATCTTATATTAGTTTAAGATATCTTAACTTTTAATAACTAGCTATAATTAATAAAAATTATAATAATCTTAAAACTTATTTAAAAGATTATATTTTAAATATAAAGTTTTAAATAAAATAGTTTATATAATAAACTTTAAGAAATAATTACTACTATAGAATATTTTCTAAGTTACTTTAAGAAGTAGAAAACCTTCTATAATAATATTAATAATAGGAATTCTTAAGATTTTAAATTAAAAAAGTTATAAGCTTTTTTATAAGAAATATCTTAAAAATTCACTTAATTAGTATATTAATAAGTTTTATTATATACTTAAGTATTATAACTATCTTAAAAACAGCTTAATAAAAGCTTTTTACTTATTTATACTTATTAAAAGTATATTAATAATATCTCTAACCTAAAAAAATAAATAGTAATAATTAGTAATACTTAAAGACTTCTATTAATAATAAATAGAAGAAACTAAATAAATATTATACTTTAATAAAAAAGTTATTTCTATATATTACTATATTATTCCTCTACTTTAGTTTTAATATAAAATATATAAAAAAGAACTAATAATCTTTTTATTAATAAGAATAAATATTTAATACTAAATTAGCTCTAAAAAGATATTTTAACTAATAATATCTTTCTAAAAAAAGAGAAAGTATAAGAAATATAAACTAATATTTAGAACTTTATAATCTAAATAACTTTAAGTAGTAAGTTTAAATAGAAGTTATTATACTTAAAGAAGATAAAAATAATAAAGAACTAAATAAATTAAAGAAGTATTTAAATCTATAGAAATAAATTAACTATAATCTTATTAATTAGTAGTTTATTTATAAAAAAGAATATCCTTATTTAAATAAACTAATATTAAGTATATTAATAATACTTTTATAGTTATCTAACTATAAAAGAGTATTTAGTATTATATCTTTTATTTAAACTTTATAGAAACTAATAATAAAAGTAGAAAAATTAAAAATATTATAATATATAAAGTAATAGTATAAGAAGAGTATAATCTTACTACTTAATAAGTTTAAATAGTTTTACTTAGTAATTACTTATAATTAATTAGTAATTAATTAAGTATAGTATTATAATATAGTAATTAAGTTAAGTTTGAGCTTTAAACTTAATTGATTGCCTTGGGGTGGGCGCTGAGCAGGAGGCTAGGAAGAACCAGGCTGACCGGGTTGAGGAACACCAGATTGACCCGGCTGAGCCGCACCACCGGCAGTAGGTTGAGAAGGAGCACCACCAGGCCCCGGAGAGGGACCAACAGGGACGGGGGCCAGAGGCTGAGGGCAATTGCTCTTGCAACCCTCGTCGAGAGTGTACTTGCCGGTACTACCATTCCACACATACTTCTGACCGGCCTCAGATGCAGAGCCAGACTGGAATCCGCAGGAGCCATCTGTGCAGACGTACTTCTGGTTGCAGGCGTCTCCATTGCACTTCTGGACCTCGCAGTTGTTTCCGTAGCAGACAACCACCTCATCGTAATGCTTGCTTCCCGGAGTAGCGTACTCGCACTGGCCGTTCGTGCAGACAATCTTGCGCCCGCAGTCGTATCCATCACAGACGTCTGGGAACCAGACGCCGTCGTAGCAGACAAGACGACGCTGGCATTGAGAACCAGAGCAGCCGGAGTCATAACCACAGTAGCCGCCGTAAGAGATGAATCTCTTCCAGCAGTCACCATCGATGCAGAGCTGGCCGAAACACATGCCACTGACACAAGGGCTCGGCTTGTAGCAGAAGGGACCCATGCAGTCTTGGCACAACGGGCAGTATGTGGTCGTGATAGTCTGGACACCGCTGACGACAGCGGTTCCGACAGTAGTGACGGCGGTGGTTGTGAAGGTGGCGGTAACGGTGCTTGCATTCACACCAGCGGTGCTAGAGCCGGAGATGGAGCCGGAGATGGTAGCAGTACCAGAGGCGCCAGAGCTAGTGCTGGAGATGTCGCCAACAACACGGGCGAAGATGGTCAAGCGGATCTCAACTGATAGAAGCTGGCGCTTGAGGCGAGATCCGGAGGGAGTAACGGCATGACCGCAGCGCTGGTCGGGGTTGCCAGGGCAGGGTGTGTCGCACTGGGCCTCGGCAACGTTGACCTCATTGGTGCTGTCGACGACGTTTCCGCAGTAGCACTCGGTTCCTACGACACCCGCGTACTGTATGGTGGTGGGGCAAGCAGCAGCGGAGAGCTCAAGGGTCATGAGCGCGGAGGTCAGCGTCAGGTTGAAGCCCGGGTGGCCAGACGGAGATCCGAAGCAGCCGAGATTGCTCAAGATGTTGCCTTCGACAGTGATAAGAGGGGGATTGGTTGTGGCGGTGGAAGTGGCAGTGGCAGTGGATTCGCCGGACGCGGATGTGAACGTGAACTCGGACGTGCCGGTCGAGCTAGATTCAGTCAAGGTTGCAGAGTCACTGGGAAGGACTGGGTCGGACGTGGCGGTAGAAGCGTCAGTGGAAGTGTCGGTGGGTTCGCCGGGCGTGAAAGTGAACTCGGACGTGTCAGTCGGACTAGAGCCCGCCGGGGTTGAAGAGTCACTGGGAACGGCTGAGTTGCCCAAGGACAAAGACCCAGTAGGGCCTGGGTTGTTTGAAGAACCGGAAGAGACTGGATTGGCTGAAGATGCAGAACCAGATGGGACTGGGTTGACTGCAGATGAGGCGCCGGGAGGGACTGAGTTCGATGTGCAAGGAGAACAACGTCCGTCGCGGCAGATCGAGCCGCCACCCTGTACCGGTTGTCCGTTGGCACCGCCGGCACATTGAGTGTCACTGGTACAAGGCGGCGCGCAGATCCCAGCTAGGGAACAGACCTTAGATCCATCGGTGGAGCATTCGGTGTTGGCGGTGCATGCACGACAAGCGTTTTGGTCGCAGACTTGGTTTTGGGTGCCTACAGTGTCACCTGGAACTCGACAGTTCTGGCTGGTGCGGCATGCAACGCAGTTGTTATTGACGCAGTACGGCAGGGCCGCATTTCGAACGGCACACAACGTGTCGCTACCAAAGCATTGAGCTCAGACGGTTTGGACCGGATCGTTGATATCACCAACAACGTGAGGCCGATAGGGCTTGAAGCCAACTTCATCTTGGCGGTGTAAAAGAGCGTGGGCAAAAGAGTGTGGGAGCAGGCTCTGCGCGAGCAAGCAAGTTGAAAAGAGTGTCGTCTCTGAAAAGATGTCTGTCGTGTGTGAACAAACACTAGAAGGTAATTGGGTTTACGTCCATCAATTATCCATACATCTACTCCCGACAGTCGCCGTCACGTTCAACGTCCAATGTTGAGACCGCTGAAGAGTCTTGGTCTACAAAGATGGTCCTCTTCCATGGAATTCAAATCTTGGCACGACAGATGCTCGCAAACTCGCATGGAACAGGCAAACAATTGTTCAGATAAGCAGATGCATGCGAATTCCGACATATTGCTCTTGGTATGCAGGATCGTCATTTTGAGATTCAGCCCCGAGTGTGGAAATGTGGCAGATTCAGAACAAACTCCAGCAGCAACTGAACCAGTCGTAGAGAGTGAGGTTTCATGAACAGTCTTACACATCGAAGGCTGAGACGTTACGCCATTGTTAGACATTTGTCTTCCCCCTAGGCTTGTTCCTGATCAACTCCAAATGTTAGGCTTTTTGGCTGAGCCCATCCCCTTGGCGCCTGAGACATGAGAGTAAGGGAACGCCCTCTATGCTCACAGTGCCAAGCCACACATCGGACAGGCAGTGAGGGTATCGTGGAAGAGCACGGGAGGGAGAGTGAAGCCGGAGGCGTTGGGTGGCGGCGAGCATAGCGAATAGAATCACCGAAGCCAAGCCTCTACATTACTCACCATATCTTATAGGCGAAGAAGAGCGCGCTGAAACTTCAATGTCTCAGGCGTTGAGAAAGCACACTCGTTCTTTACACAACGCCATCTCCATTTCCATATCGGTGCACTTTTTGTCACTATCGTCGCATCTAGCCTTCTGTGGAAGTCAAGTGGTTGCAGGCATAAGTCACCAGGTGGCGCTCTCTTTTCATCTCAAGTTTTCAAGTTTGACAAGAGTATCAAGAGTCGGCCACTACAGGTGAAACTACATCCCATGCTACGTTCCATACACTGGAGCGACACATCATAAGGTTAATATTGTCGTAGATCTTATGCCCAATAGCGTATAATATGATTCTCAAAAGGTTGTAACATTACACCCTCTATCTGAATGGCCTCGTGATTTTCAAGACAAAAGAATATTTCTTACAGATTTAAGTAAGCACTAAAGAGAGACAGTCTTCTAACGAAGTACCATGTTATGAAACACTCAAGGATTGTATTGAATGCGCCACAAATGCGTTGCTGATGCACTTTCATTTCACAGGGGGTACTCCCCATGCTGGGATACATTCTCGTCGCCATTTTTGCCATCATTTGTCCAAAGAGCAAAACAGTATATTATGATTAAACACAGAAGATTTCCCCAAACTCTGTGAAACGTCATGATTGGGACGCAAATGATTGCTTTGTATGGCTATATTGATGATAATGGTTGAAAGTTCCGTTGATCCCATGGTGAACATGGCTATGGAAAAGAATGAAAGGGAAGATGGGCACGAAAAAATTTTGGGGCGAAGCAAATGAAAGAAGAGCTTGAAGCCAAGATACAGGGACCCGTAGACGATCCAAGTGAATGTCGAGGTGTGTTTACAGGTGTGTTGACATTTAAGCGTAGAGTGCCTTCTGAAGCCACAAGCACCTTTCGTTAGCCGTCGTGTCACTAACAACACTCACGCCGCTGTTGTTGAACGCCAGCATGTCTGCGTTAGCGCCCGAGACTGGGAACTCAGGGAGGCCAAGCCCGTTGGGGTTACCAGACTTAACGAAGTTGACAATGTAGCCCTGCAGCGTACGAGCGACATCCACAATGACAGGCCCGAGACTGCCAACATAAATACCACCTTCCACCTCATCTGGACCATTGTAGAAAGCGTAAGGGAAGTCAGAACCATGAACACCTGGGTGTACTCGGAACTCGTAGTTGTAGGTGTTGTTCCCGAATGCCCGAGCCAGGTAGTTGACGTTGCATGCGAAACCCAGCTCGGCAACATAGAGCATGGTGCGATTGACACCCGGTTCCGGGTAGAGTTCGTCGACAATGTAACTGACAATAGGCTCCTCTATCGTGGGCCATGCATCGCGGATCATTGCGGCCATTTGGTCGTTTGTTTCGACGAAGGGTGGGGAGAAGTTTGCGCCCTCGTTGGCGGCGTGGCCCGTCATAACTGAGACGTTGCGATCAAACTCGCCCTTGAGCAGAGAAATTCCGGGCAATGCCGGCACGAGACCTCCGTCGATGACGGGACCATAAGTTGTTGAAATCCATTTGGACGATCCGACTGCCTTAGCGTTGGCCAAGATGACTTCCTCCGTTGATGAATTCTGTGCCTCCTCAACAGTAGTCACGTTGAGAAACTGCAGGAAACTGTTCGTAGAGTTCTCTTGCTCATACTGAGAGGTTACAGGGATCCAACCGGCCGACAGGGGAATTGCCCTCGCAAAAGGGGCAGGTTTCAGCCCTCCGTATGCCGTGATATGATGCACGATGCTTCCTCCTCCCGCAGATCCTGTGGCTCACGGTCAGCATCCGAAGGGATTCTCCCAGCAGTCGTCTTCGATGAAGTCACCAACCTCCCATAACGGTCACTTGCTCAGGGTCCCCTCCAAACAAGTGGATGTGTTCTTGGACCCATTCCAGGGCGAGCCTCTGGTCCTGGAGACCAGCGTTTGATACTCCACCAGAAGCTTGCAATGATGGCCCAGCAAGCCATCCAAGTGCTCCTAGTCGGTAGTTGATGCTCACGTAGATAATGCCGGGACTTCCGTCGGCCTGGCTAGCTCGAATAAGGCCGGTCGGGTCGGCACTGTTGTCGTAGATCTTGTTCCCAACAGCGTATGCGCCTCCGTGAATCCTGAAAGCTTTCATTAGATACGATGCTCAGATAATTTCAATCCTTCACGCATACTCACCATACTAGAACAGGCACCCCTTTATATCCAGTCGCAGACGTACCATTTTTAGCACTCTCGAACACTCTTTTGGGAACAACAACATCCAGGAAGAGGCAATCTTCGGTCGTGTGGTTGTTTGGGTTAGCCCACGGAGCGGGCCATTCCCTCTGTTCCCGGGCAGTACGCGCTATTTCTTCGGCATTGGTATAGTTGAAAGTTGCCTGGTTACCTGCAGCATATGCTGAAACGAATTCTTGAGTGATAGCAAACCATTCAGGCATCGCCTGTGGGCAAATACGTCCTTGCTCGCCTGTTTGGATTTCGGGATCGCGTCCAGTCGGAGGCTGCGGTGCGCGAAAGCGGAGAGACCCTGTAGGAGCCTGAGCGTAGCGGATATTGGTGAAGTTCAGGATGCCAGTTGTCTCCTATGCCAGTCTTAGCAGAGTTCTGCGGGTAGACAATAATTGTGTGAGGGGTGTTGCAAGCCATACGTTGAAAGAGATAGCCTGGTGGACTTCATAACCGAGGTCAACAGTTGCCAAGCGACTGGACGCATGAGATGGCGTAGGCAGAGCAGCAAGAAAGCTGCAAACGAGCGGCAAAAAGAACATGATCGCAAAGAAATATTGGTTGGCTGCAGGACAATGGCCGATTCAATCATAAGCTACCCAGAGTAGGTCGGAAACAAGTCGTGGTAACCCAAAGTCTTATATGCGTTGGATTCACAGCCAGGAATTTTCGATCAGAACAAAGAGCTACCCAGGCGAACGTACCTCGGAAGGATATGACACCAAGAGCCGCCATTTCATGAGGAAACTGCTGCAAGGTCACAACCCACAGCTCGATAGATTGCGGTACTTGGCGGTCGCCCCACAGGGCGTATTCAGAGCGTATTCGACGGCCTTCCTCATCGGGGTTGCGGGGAGCGTATTCAAGAGCGTATTCAGAAAGGTAAAGAGCCCTTGCCCTTGCTTCTTTTCTAGGTGAACAAAACTGATTCAGCTCAATTTTGACAACGAAAAACGGGATTCTTTCCACTATAGGCAATAATCCAGTGGAGCCTGGAGCTATTGTTGGCCGTTGCCTCCAACTTCTCATGATGGGTCCAAACTAGGCTTGTCGTCCACATATCATTCAGGGTATGAATTTTGGCTGGAATCTATTGCAATACGCCATGGTGCGCCAAAGACCAATCAGTCTGTTGACAGGCTATGGGGCCGACTTGGCAGAGTCTACAAAATAGAAACTCGTATTCTTTCACATACCGACAGCACATGTTTCCACAGGTGAGGCGTATTTGATTTCGAAAGGCGTATCAATTACAATGAAAAGCTGGAAAGACAATGATAAATAATCATCAGTAGCTAAAATATCTCTTGCCTCCCGCATTTCAGCCTCACGCCAGACAGAGTTCAACTCAACTACAGCAAGAGCAGCGCAAGTTCATATTTCCGACCATGTCAGACTGCAGATACCAATCTCTCTTTGCATATGCGCCGTCAATGGCTGCTGCTGCCTTCTTCACTTCTGCCTTTGGCTTGTCTGCTGTTCTTCACCTTGGCCAGGCAGTATACTTCAAGACATGGTGCATGATACCGCTGGTCGTCGGAGCCTTTTGTAAGTCCGTTTTCATGAACATGTTTTGCATGGTACTGATTCTTGACATGTAGTTGAGACAGTAGGCTATATCATGCGATGTCTCTCCGCGAGCGAAAACTTCGGCTGCTGGAGTCTGCCTCCTTTCATTATTCACTCAATCCTTGTTCTCGTTGCACCAGCCGTCATTGCAGCCTCAGTCTATATGGTGCTTGAGAAAATCATTCGGCTTGCCGACGGCGACTCGTATTCTATTCTCTCCCCGCGCTGGATAACCCGCATCTTCGTGGCTGGCGATGTGGCATCTTTCTTGATACAATCATACGGTCAGTTAAAATTCCGGTGAGGAGATGCATCGCATGATACTGACTCTGTCTAATCGGTACAGGGGGAAGCATGGTCTCAAAGCCAACCGCGACGGAGTCGTCAAAGAAAGCAGGCCAACAAATCGTCCTCGCCGGTTTGGTAGTACAAGTGGCCTTTGGTGTGCTCTTCACTATCGTTGCCGGAGTCTTCCACCGGCGCATTTGTAAGGCCTTCACTGCCGCAGATGTCTCGCAAGAGATCCACTGGCTGATGACGCTCTACGGCGTCATGGTACTAGTCACTATTCGCAACATCTTTCGCATCGCTGAGCACTCTGGCGGCCAGGACTCTTCCCTGATGAAGGATGAATATCTGCCGTATCTCTTCGATGCTACCCCGATTTTGTTGGCGTTGCTTTGGTTCAACTGGTGCCATCCTTACAAGATGAAGAAAACCGCGCCGTTTGGCTATCCGTTGACGAGCACTGCCAGTTGAATGAGCCGTTTGTCAATACCAAACAACAAGGGTGTTTGGCGGCATTGGCTCTGATTCATGATATGCCTCGGAACTGGATGTCGCGACATCATTTCGGTTTCCATAGCTAATAGATTTTCTGTCGTTTCTCATTTCACAAATATATCGCCAACAACATTCAATTCTCGTACAGAACTCCTGTCGGCATCGGGCGAAGTTCAGCTGGCTGCAGCTCTCAGTGGGCGGCTCAGCCACTATTACATCCTTGTCGATCCCCACAAACACGGGTTCTGTGCCCAACTCGCAAACATTTAGTGCCTTGGCGAGGCAAATCTGTCACTGCGAATAGTGCCCTGAGAGCCTACAAGAATTCGGTCTGCCCCCTACATGGCTCTAACAACAGCAACATGCTGCGATGGCAATGCCGCGACTCCTAAGCAGTCGTGCTTCTGCTTCCTCTAGACCTTTTGCAGTCGACCTGAGCGAAACATCTTCAGACTAACAGAATGACCCGGACGGAAAGTAACGACAATGGCGCGTCCGTGGGGAGCAAAGGCATTCGACGGTCTCACCAGAAATCGCGTGGCGGCTGTAGCTTTTGCAAGCGACGCAGAATCAAGGTGAGTTGGATGAAATACCTCTTCTTAACGAAACGCGGCGAGAACTCGAGACTTAATTTAATCGAAGTGCGATGAAAGAAAACCGAGCTGCACCAACTGCATCAAAAGGTCGCTGTGGTGCAGCCTGAACACCAATCCGTCGCCCGCGTCAACGCCTGAGAACGCAGCTCAAGCCACTGTCTTTGAGCCTCTGCCTGACAATCAGGCTATGGAGGAGTGCAATGAATCTGCTTTCACTCTGGACGTTCAGGACCTTCAACTGTTTCACCATTTCTGCTCCATCACGTCCATGACTTTCGGCCCAACTCCACATGTGCAGCAATTTTGGAGTATCACAGTGGCCCAGATGTCTTTCTCTCACCCCTTTCTCCTGCGAGCGATCCTTGCGATTGGTGGTTTGCACATGAACCATCTCAGACAAAACAGCAGCGAGGCCTCGGGCTGGTACAAGACGAAGGCCACAGCCCATTGGCAAGCCGCGGTCCGACTTGCAACCCCAAGACTTGCTGCGATAGACGCAGAATCCTGCGATCCGCTGTTCATATTCGCCATGCTCTCATGCCTCCAGACGTTCGCCCTGGGTCCTCAGCGGGGAAACTTCCTGCTCTTCACAGACGACTCTGAGATGGAATGGCCCATCTTCTTCCGCGGGTTGAGAACGGTCGCTGAGGCATCTGTCCTCTTTGGCATGACGGAGCCCACCAGACCGTTGGCTTTCATGTACGGAATCGCCAAGCTGGATCTCGAAACGCTGCCTCCGGATGAGCCTGTGACATCCTGGGGAACGGCATTGAGAAATCTCCGTCAGATCATGATGAATGAGGTGTCTGGCGAAGAAGAGAGGGCAGTGTACCAGGACGCTCTGCACCGCCTTTATGCCGGGTTTTCAGCCGTGTTTGGAGACGCCGATACGGTCGGAGGCGCAAACTCGCAGGTGGTTTTCGCCTGGCTTTACCACGTCTCGGAGAACTTCGTCGAGCGACTCCAGGCGAGAGAGAATCTGGCGCTGGTATTCTTCGCATATTTCGCAGTGCTGATCAAGCAGATTGATGGCGTCTGGATGATCAAAGGCTGGCCAGATCACTTGATAGCCGGGATCTACTACACTCTGGTGCCGGCGACACGACTCTGGATTCGCTGGCCGATGGAAAGGATAGGATGGTTTCCACCACCGTAGTAGGCCCTCGTCTGCACCAGTGTCCTCCGATATACCGGGTTTCATGGACGAAACTGCGGAGGTTCTGCCCCGGGCAGAAGATCATTCAATGACCGACGTACGTCTGATGACACGTCGAAAGTCACCATCGGATGTCACTAGCGGAACAAAAACGCCATGTTTTGCGCCCTGGAGCTTCGTCGCCGTAGGGCTTAGTACGCGAGGGAAACGGTACTGTGTCTTAGCATCACGCTGTGCGACGCGACGGACGGACTTGACATGAGCGCGTCATCGACAGAACCGCCGTTTTTGGGCGAGCCAAGTAAGACAGTGACATCGATAATGATTCATGCGGCTCAACGCCTTCCCATATAAGCAATTGAACAGAGGACCAGGCCAATTATTTCGTGTTGGGATGAAATCATTCAGCATAACCGTCTACCAATGAGCTCTGCGCGAATTCCAATCAGTGTTTTGAGGCGGAATAAGTTGATAGACTTATTACCTTCAAAAACCTCAACTGCGTCGCTTCATACTGCACCTGCATCAATAAAATACAGCAAAATTGCAACAATTACGAGATCATTACACTATACTCGTCCCGTGAACATTCCCGTAATGGAGACCATCAAGGTAACAAGACCGCTGCATCTGCCCGTCCGCCCTGACACATGTACAGAACACCATCGCCGAGAACTTTGGTGGCAGCACCGCCGCCAGCCTCGGTTCTCACCAGTTCAGTCTTGAGGACTGCCCCGACCTCACGTCAAAGATTGCTGTGGTGACGGGCGGCAGCGAGGGCATTGGGTACGGCGTCACCCACACTCTCCTGAAGCACAACATCGCCAAGCTCTACATCCTTTCCGTTTCCAAGGAAGTCGTGGAGGGCGCCCAGGATGCCATCGCCAAGGACCTCGGCACCGAGAAGGCGAACCGCACCAAGTGGTTCCAGTGCGACATGTCGGACTGGAAGCGCGTCAAGGAGGTCGCAGAGGCGATCAAGAACGACGCCGACCGCCTCGACATCCTCGTCAACAACGCTGGCCGCGGCATCATGAGCTTCGAGCTGACGGACTACGGCGTGGACAGGCACATGGCCCTGAACCACATGGGCCATGTGGTATTGACAAGTCACCTGCTGCCGCTGATTAAGGAGACGGCGGAGAAGGGCAACGTGGTTCGCATCGTGAACCAGGCAAGCAACGCACATCAGGCTGCGCCGAGCGATGTCAAGTTTGAGAGTCTGGAGGAGCTTAACAAGGACCTGGGTCCGAATGGACAGTATGGACGCAGCAAGCTTGCGAACATCTTGTACGCGCGGTACTTTGCAAGGAAGGTGACGCAGAACGGGCACCCGAATGTACTGATGAATGCGACGCATCCTGGGTTTGTAAGCACGAAGATGAGCAAGGAGGATATTTTTGAGCCGTGAGTATCTCCCTTCAGCCCTTGAATACCGCATCTGACTGTGACAGATATCCCTTGGGAGGCTACGCGATGGCTGTTGGCATGGAACCGTTTAAGAAGAGTCAGTGGGAAGGTGCTGTCTCTGCAGTATTTGCAGCTACGGCGATCAAGGAATCTGGCCAGTACATTTGTCCGCCTGCGATCCCTGAGGCAGGCAACAAGCTAGCGCAGGATGAGAAGTTGGCTGATCAATTGATGGAATTGACGCGCAAGATCATTACGGAGAAGACGAGAAGCCAGTCTGTTGACAAGGGCTGCCCCATGGACGACCTCGTCTTGCACTGAGACTTTAAGTAGCTCTGACCATTCAACAAGAATTATAGAACTGAACCTTGTATTATCAAAATGCTGTCGCTTGCTACCTGTGAAATAGTGATCCCTCCCTCTTATTCTGATTAACATCTCCTTCCAACCCGAAGCCGCACCTGACCTCATTAGGCGACCATATCGGACTGCCCTGCTGGGGGTATCTTCCATCCGTCCCCAGAGGACTCATAACGTTTTGACTCATAACGCCGTACCCAATCTTCAATTCCTTCACATCCTTCGGCACATCACCACGATCCCGATCGGGACCCTCCCACTTCACCTTCTCCAGCGCAGGGCCTCGTGTAGCGGCCACGATACTCGAAAATCGTGTATTGCGCAGCACCCCGCCATTCTCCCGGATCGCCAGCGCGCCCGCCGCCACACACGACATGGCGAGGAATATCGCAATCGCGTAGACGATCCACAGGTCGCGCGCGTGGTAGCTGTACAAGTTCGCCATCCGCGAGCGCTGGCAGCCGTACATGTATGATGACCTGTTGCCGGGACCGCCGCCTTCGAGGAGCTGGCCCGTCATCTCGGTGGGCTGGGCCGCCCAGACGACCGGGACGAACTGGGGCATGGAGAAGATGGAGAGGATAAGGTCCTCGTAGAAGCCTTGCACCATCTCCATGAGGTTTTCGTGGGGAAAGTAGTTGTTTCGCGGGTCGAGGAGCTTCGTCTGGATCGCGTCGGTGTTGGTTACGGGGTTGACAAGCGCTTTGTCGGTCTGGACGGTGCCGTTGAGGAACTTGCGCAGCATGAAGCCGAGGGAGTGGTATGCCGCCGTGCGGCGATAGTTCGAGACATCGGTTGGGAGGATGTAGTTTGATGTAGGGGTGGCGGTAACGTTGTCTGCCGTGCCGTCGTCTGCGTCAACGTGGGGGATGTATGTTGTGTTGATGATTGGCCGGAGAAACTTGCTCTTCTTCATGTATGCCGACTGCGTTGCGTCTGTGTAGTTGAAGACGGCTGTGTAGTCGGTCTCATAATGCTCACATGCAAAGATCTTAGGAGTGAAGTCGACGTCGGTTCCGCCCGAAGATGTGTTTCCCTTTACGACGTGGCCGATCCAGATGATCGGCTCTGTCCGGAAGGCTCCCATGTGCTCCGGGTATGGCGGGTCCATCTTCGGGATACCGCCGATGTCGACGTCTTTCATCTGCGTCGTCGAGTACTCTCCGCCACTCGTGAATGCATAATAGGCGAAGGTTCCGTTAGGAAGGAGGATATCGGTGCCGAATGGCGACATCGCTTGGCCCGACTGTTGGGTGAGATTCGTAGGTTTCGAGCCAACGCCGCTGGCCAGCTCTGTGCACTTGTAGCCAGGGGCGATGAACTGAATCTCAAAGGTGCAGTTCCAACCCTTGCTGCAGACTTCAACAGACGCATTCTTCCTCGATACGACTTCCTGGAAGTAAGCGCCAAGGGTCGCTGTCTGCTGAAAGTTGGGGCTAGGCCCGGTGTAGTAGTCAAACCATCCCGGAGGATCCTCGTCAGACGGCTTAGTGGTGTTCCAGAATGACAGCGGCATCTCGTAGAGGCCGTCGATGCGGACGGGTTTGCGCCAGTCAGCAGTCTCTTCCATGGCGAAGTTCAAGCTGCGGACGCCAGGGCACGTGGCATTCTGGATCGTGACTTCGGGTTGCACAAGAAGCGTGTTGGCCGTGAGAATGACGACCAACGGAGAGAGCCTTCATAAAAGTTAGCGATACGTGACATGAGATTGGCGTTGTTGAGGCTGGATCTCACCAGACAAAGAGCGCAAGGGCAGCTGTTGCCTTGGCGCCCTTGAGGAATTCCCAGTTCAAGAACGCGATGAGGTTCTCAGTGGCCGCGAACATTGAATCGAGCGCGGCAATGCTCAGTATTCTCGATCTCACCGTCGCCCAGATGCGCTGTTGAAACGCCGATATTACGGCAGCGCCCAAACTGGCTTTGGCCATGAATGCAAGGATCGTCCCGTACCGAAGCATCCGCACCTGGTCATCCGCGGGGTGGCCGTCAAGAGACGCATAGAACGCGTGATGGCCGACTGCGAAGCAGATGCCCACCACAAGCCAGAGGTACATGTTCCATGATGAGTGCCAAAAGCCGCAAGTCGGCTTCCGCATGCGAAAAGATCTCACGGGCTCATTTGGCGGTCCTAGATAATTCGCTGCGACGTATGGAGGCGGCTGCGGAGGCATTTGCTGCTGGTGATATGCATGTTGCTGCTGTTGGTATTGTTGCTGTTGCTGTTGCTGTTGCTGTTGTTGTTGTGCCCCTGCGAACCCATACCCATCATACCCAGGCTCCTGGGCGTTGTGAAGCAGCGCCGCACTCGCATCTTGGCGTTGGTCGTGATGGTGCGCGAGGTCGTCGTGAGTTTCTTGGCCTCGGATCAGTGGATCGGCGTCGTAGTGCGCCGATCCGCTTAGCGAGCTCAGGTCGATGCCATGCGTGTCCATCGGGCCTCCCGTCGCTGCGTTCGTCGTGTCATGAATGTTGGTCTCAGAGTCAGAGTCCTTCGTCGCTGGGACGGGTCTTTGTGGGATGGCCGCGGAGTGTCTCTGTTGCTGTTGCCATCCCATCTCCGTAGTCTCCTGTGATGACATTGAAGGAAGAAAAAGCTGCCCAGAGGCAGCGGAGGAGGGGCTGCCAAGGGCCACACACGCCTCTCTCACAAGCTGGAGATCAAAATGAGACGGAGGATCGCGCTAGCTTCGCTGGTGCAGCTTCTGCTGGCGCTGGGTAGGATGTGCCGAGCGGCAACGTCTTGTTTGGATTTGAAGGGGGTGGGCGGGCAGGATGCGAGATGGAGCTGATCTGCTGGAATTTTTCCCTTTTCAAGGTAAGACACGCCCTTGCATGTGCTACCAGGCAACGAGAGAATGCCACAGTTCCCAAGCTGTCCACGCGGCTGGGATTCGGGGCCTGGTCGAATCTGAGGGCCTAGACTCAGTCCTGCAAATCGTGGCGGTGTTGTGGTGTATTTTGGTTCTTGGTTGTGCTGGGGGGCTGAATCAAAGTAGAATGCCAACCTGCGGCCCCGAATTCGGCGCAGACGCGGTTCGGTGCGGCGGGATGGGAAGTGCCTCACTTCTTTGAGTGTGTTTGACTCGGCCTCCGACCGTGTTCTTGGCTCGAACAAGCTTTGCTGCGGTCGGTTCAAAGTCTGGGAGAGCAGCTGAACGCCGTGTGCTCCGGTCCGTGGAACCGTGATCGGCGCTTGGATGACGGAGACATGCACAAATGGTTGCTACACGGAAGAGAAAAAGATTGGCAGGTTCACGATAATCTTTCTTTTCTCAGGGACCTGTGGATCGTTATGTACAGCAGGGATGAGAGCTCAATCCCCGTCAAATAAATAATTAAGGCAAAATAAAAACTTAACGTGGACCCTGGTCTCCAGGAGTCCAGCCCCTATTTTTCCCGCTCCTTTGGTTCACAGGCGGAGACTGAAAGGGTGAGAGAGGGGCCCAGCATTTCGTCCATTTTCGCTGACAGCGTGGACGCGCTAAGACGTGGCTGGAGGTCTGTTTTCGGGAAAGCTTCGCCTAGCTGAATCGTCCAGCTGGAGCCAATCGCGTGGCGTTCATGGAGAGATGTTGGACGAAGGATTCCTCGCTTCAGGCTGTACAAGCAGAAATATCGATGCAGGTGAGATTGGTCGGCTGACCGCGCGGCACGTTCAGCCGAACGGGGTGACGGGAGAGGGCACATAGAGATTGCTCCGTGCCGCCGTTAGGACGTCCCGCGGTTACGGAGCGGCCTCCGAGACTGCGCCGTGCCACGCTACCCCGGCAACTTGATAGATAGGCGATTAGGATGTTCCTTTGTTGAACTTAGCTTTCTGCTGTGGCCCCTTGCGTGATAAGAGAAGAGACCGTCAAAATGTCTCGGCTTACTTCAATTGATAGCAAAGATAAACTGACGCAGGGACTGCTCCCGCCTCTTCTGATTGAGTCTCTGTCCATCTAGGAAGTCACAAAAATCACCACAGCTCCAAGGATCGACGTCGCAACAAAGAATCTCTCGAGAGCGCTTTTGATGATCATCCACCACTAATCATGTTTGCCAATCATACGTCATTTTGTTTGCTCAATTCACCAACACAAGCTGTACAGCTGTTGAAGACACCCAAATCCCTGTAACAATCACCCAGTCTACAGTCCCGGTTCCACGCAAACCTGCAGGGCTCTACCAACACGGCCCCTCCATTCGACAATCTTTTTTCCCAAGTCCAACTGCCGTCGCCCAGAAGCCGTTATCTGCCAATCACCATCGACTCAATGACCGTGTGAACCGTGTCTAGCGCTCTCCAGCAAACATGGCAGACCCGGCCGGTAGCGACACACGGGTCTCCCGCCGGAATGGGGGTCAACCCCGCACAGTGGTGATGTCGCGTTAGAGACAGGCTGCCAAATTTGCCGAAGCTTTTTAGCTAGGGCGTTCTCCCCGTCCTTAGGGTCCCCTTCTCTCTCTTCGATTTAACGTTTTGTTTGACATCCCATCAATCACCGTGCAGAAGTGACGTGCTTCCATCCTCGGCCGGGCTCAAAATGCCGGGTCACGATGTCTTTGAAGCTTTTGAGGGCTTCATCTCGACGGCGCCGTCAGCGGTAGCTGTTGCGGGTGCGCTGGTCCTGTTGGCGGTGTGGTATTTCAAAACATGGTATCGCCTGAGGCACATTCCAGGCCCGACACTCAACGCGATTTCGATTTTGCCGATGCAGCTCATGACTCGGGGAGGGAAGTTGAGCTTCATGTTAAAGGAGCTGGGAGACAAGTATGGTACGACTTAGATCATGGCCGTTTGTGGGAAGCCCTGTTGACAACATGTTTGCGTAGGCCCTTTGGTCCGCGTTGGTCCCAACGAAGTCCTTTTTGGGGATGCAGATACCTACCGCAAAATCTCAGCTGTTCGCTCAGACTTCACAAAAGGTCCCTGGTATGAGCTGGCCAAGGTCGTCCCAGACCAGCACAGTCTCTTCTCA